ACAGAACTCCAAGTCCCAGAGGCACTGCAGGGAACCATCAGATCTGCTCAGTGCCCGCTGCTCTCCGTGGCTGCTTTCCAAAGAGGAGATCTGGCTTCTGTGACCTTCCAAAGGAAACACTTGGGCCCGAGGGCAGTCATAAAGGAACAGGTCCCTGCTAGTCATGCCACACAGGACTCTGTAATCTGCAAGGACAGCCACTCTGGAAATCACAGAGCCAGGGATCTGCCAAGCACTGACCTAGTGAAGAGGTGACAAAAAGATAGGAGTAGTGAGGACTTAGGTGGCTTCTCTGTCTACAGCCTTCATGATTGTGGCTGTAAGTTCTAAAGTTCTTGTTCTTTAAGTTAAAGACTGGCCATGCCTTTGTATCTGAGGAAGAATATACAACCATGTACCCCTCATCCACGTGAAGGTGATGTGAGGGCTGTTCTTCAAAATGGGTATCCTGGATAATAAACCTTGATCTGCCAGAAATCAAATTCCAGGTGCACAGACAGTGATCCACGGCAGCTGAAACAGCACAGGTTCCTTTTCCAGACACTTTCACACACCTCACCTCAGCTATAAAATAAGATGAGGACTCACAAAATGAGGATTCTCAGTGCTTTCAGCAATTGGGAAGGATGCTGGCAGCTGGGAGGTGTCTGTGTGCCTACAGCCCAAGGATTGCCAAGCTGCCAGAGCTCTTTTCAGACATGAAAAGAGCTTTCCAACCATAAAAAGTGCAGAATGCTCACCAGAGTGCCCAGGAAGGGCGTGCAGCAACTCAAAAACTTCCATATTCCAGGCAAGCATGGAGCCATCCTGGGAACCTGCTACCAGCAGCTGGTAACCAGAACTGAGTGCCATCACTGTGACACCTGCCGTGAGACACAGAGGGGAAAGGCTGCTCTTGAGAACACAGACAGGACAGAGACATTTTGAGATTGTTCATATGCTGTTTCCCCAACTGGAACCCTCCTATGCTGTCTGTGCCGAGAGCAAGATTAGGTTCCCTCAGACATATCTAGGTCAGTGTGTGCTTTTGTTGTCCTGACGACAAAATGACCCACTTTATCCTCATTTGTTGAAGCAGTTGGGAATGGGACCGAGCACAACGGCGAACGGACCTTTATCCTGCCTTTGTGTCAGCTCACAGCCCAAGCTGGATTTCTACAGAAACAGATGTTGTCTCCTTCTTGCTCTGTTTGTTTATTATGTTTCCTGGATCTCATTCATAACAGAGGGATTACTAGATAAATTCTTGGGCTGTATTTGTCCCCAAGACTAATCCTACCTTTGAGGAATCCAGTGAGCGTTGTGTGCGGGGGCCCACCAGGTGGCTGGAGAAATCCACACAGTGGAATGAGAACAGGGTAGGGACAGACACTGCACCAGCTCAGGCACTGCTGGCACAGCTTCCTGATTACCTCTGGGTAAGAAGGCACGAAAAAAAGAAGCCAGGCCAACACTTCTGTGTATTTTGTACTCACTCCTACGAGACAGAGACAAGTGTTTTAGAACATGACTGTGGTGGGCCTGTGAGAGCTATGAGAGTTGTATTTTATGTGATGTGCAGTATGTGATGAACTGAGCTGGCCTTCTCTGGCCAGGCACTTGAAAAGTATAGGGAAAGCTACAGTGTAAAATATGGGCAGATGTAATGGTGTGGCAGGATTATTCCCTTGAGGGAGGACGGTTTTTCTGAGGAGGATGGAGGAGCAGCACTGTGCACCCTTTCAGCTGGTGAGCTTAGAGCTGCAAAGGAATCTGCAAGGGAATCAAGGGGCAAACTGCTCTAATGAAATAGAGAAAATGAAGAAACCTCAGCTTCCCCTACAGAGGCCCTACCAAAATGGGGCATTTATGAGTCTTGATGGATCCCAGAACAGAGAATTTTGTCTCTGGTTGTAATTCCTGAGAAAAGTATTTTTACTTGGAAAGGAAAATTCCAATTCTTTCCTCTGATAAGCGTTTGTGTCGTGCTTTGTCGCTCTGACTTCGCCGTTACCTTCGGGGCTGCGTGTGCTGCTGACTGCTGGCTTCAAAAGAGAAGTGTCCCCTGCACAAGGCGTAGTTCTGGGCAGCTGATGTGTTCAGCACACATGGCAAAGTCATCAACAACTCTCTATTTCACAGGCAATTGTTTTACATCTGATCCAGTTCATATTCCCTGCAGAAAGAAATACTGTTAGAGCAGAGAACATCAGCCCTGAGAACGCACTGTGATTCTGAACATGGGTGAACAGCCACTAGCAGTGGAACTGGGACTCATTTGCTGGGGAAGTGGAGGGCTCCCATTGTCACAGTTCCTTCTTTAGCCTCTTAAATGATCTATGATTTTTTTTTAATTTGTTAGGTTTTTTAAGGTTCTTCTCAGAGTTTGGAGGATCTAGATAATTTATTTCTGCTACTAAAGGAATGTGGTGACAATTCTAGGATTGCAGTTCATAAAAGTTAGCTTATTTCTCTTTTTCAAGCTTCTTCCTCACAGTGGTTATTGAAGCTGCACAGAAAGGTTGTGACTCTTACCTGTGGCTGTAGGCATGAAGCAGGCTTCAGCAGAGCCCTCTATACCCCCTCGTGCCCAGTCCTTACCCAGCACATCCCACTTTAGCTCCTCTAAGTGTCCAGCATTCAGTAAATGAAATGGCAATTCACTCAACTTCCTCAGGTTTGCAACAGCATCAGAGAAGCAGAGTGGCTGAGGGGCTACCTGGGAGTAACCAGAAGGGTGGATTTGAGACATGGCTGGTGGATTAATCCCTTTGCTTTCACAACTTCAGTGCTAGGTGCTATCTCATGGTGTGCCAGACAGCACTTCCAGGACTTTCATTGTTTTGAAATGTTTTTCATGGCTGAATTTCTCTTGCTACAATCTAAGGCAGTCTGCCTTTCTGCAGATATGAATAATCAATTCCTTCCTTCCCTGTTGCAATAGCCTTTTACAGGCATGAAAACTGCATGACAGTGTTTGTAAAATGACTGTAGATCTCCTTGGTTGGAGATACTTATTTAATAAAATAATAAAATCTATATCTACATATCTTTGTCGTGGTTGAAAGCACTGAATAGTGTCATTTACTATTATATCCATTGTCTTCTGATTTCAGACCCTGCCCAGCAGTCTGGAGACACAGAGCCGTCGTCCAGAGCTTACAGGTATGGAAATGCCTGCTGATATTCCTCACCTTCCTGTCAGCATTTAAAGTCCTGCTAAAGTGTGGCAATGTAGGAGGTTTCTTCATTCCCCAGCTCCAAGTCCCCTTGAATAAATCTGCCGGGAGAAAATGCCTCTTGATTTGGTTTTACTTTGATAGATAACGATGCTGCATCATTTCAACAAACTGCCTGGGAAGAGAAAAAGTAACAGATGTGCTGGAACAGGGAGCTAGAGCTGGATTTTTTCTAGATTCTCAGCACTGACAGAGTTAAAGCACGGAGAGGAGTCTAGGCAGGGTGCCCAAAAGGCCATGATGGGAACATCCCATACTCAGAGGTTTGGCTTCTTGTTCTCTGCCCTGTAAAGCTTCATGTGTGCAAAGCAAAGAAGGGTTCTGCCAGGCACTCTCCCATCTCACTGCGTAGCCATGCCCAGTGGAGAGGAGAAAGGCACAGGATAGTTTTACTGGAAGGAAGGTGACAGTGGTGAATCTCTGAGAGAACTTCATTGTCAAGGGATAAAATGTCCTTCAGCTCTGTGTCTGACAGCCCATTTCTGCAAGTGAAGTGTGATATAGGAAAGGAAATTATTTCTCCTCCTCCTCACTGTTTACACTGACATCCACAGAAGGAGGGTGAGTGGTTTCTCTGGCAGTTCAAAAGTACTAATCACCAGAAATCTTGTAGCTCACATGCACACGTGGCAGTCTCAGCTGAGAGCTTAGACCGTGGATAAGCCAGGGAGATGGATTTCCTTTCTCGAGTAATCCCAGAACATCTCCCTTCAAGACAATATTTTAGGTAGGCTGCCAGGCATGAGAGGAATGTTACACTTGCTAAATATGTGTATGAACACATTCACAGGCTCAAAGAACTCAGAGTTTTCATAGAATCCCAGACTGGTTTAGGTGGGAAGGGACCTTAAAGATCATCCAGTTCCAACCCCCCTGCCATCAGCAGGGACACCTTCCACTAGACCAGGTTGCTCAAAGCCTCATCCAGCCTGACCTTCAACACTTCCAGGGAGGGGGCATCTACAACTTCCTTGGGCAACCTGTTCCAGTGTCTGACCACCCTCACAGTGAAGAACTTCTTCCTAATATCTAGTTTTGATGGGTTTTGCCTGTGTTTAGAGAAATTCCCTATGAAGAGAGGGAAATATGGGCTGTTCCATCAGAGATACAGCAGTGCTCACCGTGAGGAAGCGATACAGCCAAGTGCATGAGCTACAGGGACTGTGCTGTGTGACCTTTCCAGTCTCTCACACAGATGATGTGTGACGTCCTGGGCTGTGCTAGCAAGCACTGGTTCTGAAGGTGAAGTGTAAGATGCCCATTTTCTGGCCCCGTGGAAGGCCAGCTTGGAGAGCAGGGAAGCTCTGACGGAAATAGGCCCATTGAGCTGGGCTTATCCATCATCTGTCTGACGCTAAGAGCATCTCTAGCATCTCCTCACCTTCTTCACAGGATAAGTGTCCTACTTCAAAGTATGCTTCAGCCTCAGGCACAGCTTTCAGAGCTTTCAGAGAGTCAGGCTCTGCTGTGGAAATGGAAATGATGATGTGGACCTTTGGAGGGCAATCTGTAGGGAGCCAGTGGAATCTGTGAGCACTGTTGCCAGGAAATAATCTCTCCACAGAATCAAGGAGCAACACCAGTGTCTGTTTGCCACAGTGGGAGACAGTTGAGGAGGAGTTTACTGAGGAACAACACTAAATCACTGCAAACCTGTTGGGTTTGGCTTGGAGGTGGTAGCAAATCAAATGCTAAACACACTTGGAGGCAAACGTCCCTCAGCAGGCTGTGAAGGGCAGAACTGAGCTGGGCTGTCCCCAGCAAACGAATCACAACTTTTGATTAGGAGTAAAGGCTGGGCCAGGGAAGAGTGAGATCCTGAAATGGGTCAGCATCCAGTATCCATGCAGCCTGGAAACAGCTGGAACGAGCTCAGAGCACAAACCCACAGTGTAATCCTTGAGCAGTGCCCGTCTGGTGTGTGTAAAGGCAAGAGGGAGTAGTCAAGCCTTTGTGGCTGGCTCTGCTGGGATTTCTAGGCACTGACCACCCTCCAGTCTGAGGAAGACTCTGAGGAAGACTCTGCCTGAGTGCCTCCAAGTGCCACCTGCGTATGTGATACAGCACTGCTGACAGGGGTGTGAGCTGAGCTCCTGGGTGCAGCAACACTGTGGTGAGGCTCTCATGGTCTCTGCCCCCCTGTTGCAAGGCCCCTGGTGGAAGTGTCTCGAGGGAAATCAGGCACAATTGCACAAACACCTAATTGGTTATTTATTTACTTGTGGCTTCAGTTATGCCCCCTGGGGCTGTGTATTTATTCTCTTTGTTCAGCAAGATTTTCTTTCTCCCTTTCTAAAACCAAAACAACCTGAGGAAGCAACCTGGCACTTCTGCAGATGTCTCAGCCTCCTCTCCCCTTCTGCAAGACTTAAAGTTCTGGGTAAGGGTTTCTGTTTGGGGCTGCCACCAAAGTCCTTCGAGGAAGCTGAGGTGAGCTGCTGCTGTGCGGAGCTTTCAGTGGTTAGAGGGAGTGATTGGAGGGATTTGTGTAGGGCAGAAGCATGTCTACTTGCACTGAAAATGCAGTTTGTGTTGCAAGTTGCTATCATCTAATCTTGTGTTGAGTTTCATATAGATGACATTGTGGTTAAATCTCATCAAACTGTGGCTTCCAGATGTCTGCAGGCTCGTGCCCACGTTACTACATTACCAAGGCCAGTGCATTTTCAAGGGTCTATACTGGCTTGTCACGCTGTGTTTTTATTTGCTAGTAGGAAAACTCTGGATTTGGAAATTTTGGATTGCATAGTTAAAGAATCCAATACAGCAGCATTGATCCAGAAAAATATATTTCTTACATCTTACTGCAGCAAATCCTCCATCCTATTTTAAGACCACTCAGCCATCCTGTTGGCCATCTCAGCGGTGATAAATAGCCCCAATAAAAGGCAATTCTACCCACAGGGAACAACCTTTTCATACAGACTCAAGCCTGTGAAATTTTTATGGCTGCTTCCCCTGCTGTGCTTTTTATAGGAGAGATTACCACTTTCTAGAAAAATCTTTGTAACACCTTTTAAGTGACATATTCACTCAATTAAATCAAACAGCAAATTAGGTAAATTTAAGATAAATGAAGAAGACAAAGCAAATAGGAATAAAAGTAAGTGTGTATATGCAACACAAACACAAGCATGAGTGCTCAATCCCAGTGCCTGCACGCGTGCACCCTCTCCTGTTAACTGATACACAGGTCTTAGATTCATGGATACTTTTCACACCTGCAAAATTAGAAGACATGGAGAATATAAAGGATATTTTTCCCCTTACATATGTTTTTTTATCATATGAGATTGTAATTTCTTCAGAACTGGAAAATTATCTCCCCCAAATTATGTACACATTGAGAGCACTACATAATCATGTGATAAAGTAGTACCAGAGGGAATGCTAAAATTAGGACGGGGAATGGCTGTATCTGCAGCTTTCCTTGGGACTGTTCTAAGTGAAAAGTGATCACTGATGAAGTCTGTGCCAGGGTCAGATGAGGAAAGAGCTCTCTTGGGTTAGGAGTTATCATGTCTGCGCTGCTGTCCAACAGGGAGCAAGCACTCTCAGCATAATACCCCTGGAATAATTCATTAGCTCTCACTAAGGTTGCAGTAGTTACGGGAAATCCTTGTAACTAATCCAGCTCCAGCCCACACCAATTCCAGACCTTACAGTGAGAGAGTGGGTTTCACTTACAACTCATCTTTTGGTGAAAATCCAATCACATGTCATGTCCTTCGTTGCAAAACTGTTCCTGAAAATATATGAGGTCTACCACGACTTTGACAGGTGGTGTAGGTAAAATCTCAACACTAGCTGTGTCCTTATATGCCCTCTAATTTCAGATTGTCTGCTGTTCTCATCCATCCCTTCCAGACACTGCAGCTCTAACTGTTTCTGTAAATGCTGACCTGTCTGCTTAGGTTGGAAACACCTCGCTGTCCAAACAGCATATTTACTAAGGAGATCCTGCAGTATTTTCTTTCTTAGATGGCACTTTTTGTGGAATTGAGAGCCTATCTAAGCCTGTGTTTTCTTATTTTAAAATGGAGACAGAGGGAATGATTTTCAGAAGAAGAAGAAACTGAGTTTTGTAATTCCTGAAAATCTGAGTCATTGCTGCACTGGCAGAGCTCAGTTTGGCAACTGTTGTCCCAGTAGGCAGAGGAAGTGGGAAATATTTGGATATTGTCCAAGAAGAGAAGTTCTTCATAAATATTTCTTGCTGTTACAGTGGTGGATGGGAATCAAATGTACGTTGCTCTGGGGTTCGAGAAAGCCTGCAAACATCGCTGTCTTGTGTGCAGACAGGCATTGTGCAGCACTGAGCTGTTACTGCACAGTAGTGCCTGGGCAACTAATGCAGAATTCTGCCATCTCTGACATGTTCTAAGTGCAAATTGGGTGTGACAGGATAAAGCTGTATATAAAATGCAAGGGATGACAGGCATCTTCACTTTCAAATGAAGCTGCAAGCTTACAGCTTCTCTGCTGAGCACGGTGGCCTCACCGCACTGTAACGCTTTGCAGACTCGAGCAGAGAGAGTGCCTGATGCATTCAGCAGCTTCAGGACTTTTCAGCTTATTTACCTGAAAAAACTGAGCTGATGAAGATTCAGACCAGGCTGGAAAGGAAGAGGAACCATCTTCCCACAGAGAAGATCCCAGCGTGGATCTGGACTGAAACTCATGCTGCTATCTGGACTCCCTGGGCTCTCCTCAGCAGCGACTGCACGTTAGAGGGGAGATGACTAATGGTAAAGAACACCAGTCTGTGGTGCCTCTCTCCAGAAAGCTGGCTTGCTCCTTTATTTAAGGAAAGCCTGAGAAGATTTCAGCTATTTTGACAGGAACAGTAGGAAATGGTTGACTGTCTGCACTGAGATGCAGTGAAACTTCACCGCATCCTGGAGCGATCCATCTGTATTTGAAGAGGACAGGTATCTCTATAGCAACCAGTGTTTGTCACTTGGGCAGAATCCCCAGGGTCTCTTTCTAAGGTGGTAAATGTGCTCCCTATCAGGTGCTGTACACCTGAGCTCCCTTTGTTCACTACCCTGGACTATTTTAGAAACACTCATCTGTGTATTTCAGCATCAGATAGGCCTGCCAGTGCTCGTATCATTTAGATTCAGACATTCTCAGACATTTAAAGTAGGTTTCTTAATACCCAGGGAGTATGGCTGTGCCCTGTCACTATTTGCCTTCTGTCAAGCTGTGCAAGAATGAATTTACTAAAAGGCATTTTAAAAATACCACTTTATGGCTATGTTTGGACTGGGGTACTATCCCCAAAAAAGCAGCACATGGGAAAAGGTAGAAAGAAAATTTTAATCATTTACAAGCTCAAAGGCAGGAAACTGCAGCTGTCAACAGAGAACAGGTAGAAAAAGAACATCTTTGTCCAAATGCCCTTGGGATGCACAGGGAGAGAAGGTAACTGGTGCAGACATCTCAGCAGAGGCCCTAAGAGAAGAGTTGTCTGAAGCTCGTGTTCGCTGAGTGTGCTTTACAATGTCTTTCTCCCATGATGGTCTGATTTCCAGCATTCCCAGCACGTTGCTATTTCAGTTTGTTTCAATATGTCTTTCTGCATTTCTTCTGCTTTTCTGTAAGAAATGCTGCTTTCTCCATGTCCTGTGGAAACAGAGATGGTGCTGAACCAGCCAGGGAGATTCACTCACTCTGAACCACTTCCCATTTCCCCATTTTCTCACAGGAGACCATAATATATTATTTCTGTGGCTTTTTGCCTTTTCCAGGAAACCGAACTGAGCATGTCAGAGAAAACCACTATCAGCCAGAGCAGCTGCTGTAGTTTTTCTGTTTTTCTCACAAAATGAGATTTAAGAAGCTGGTGTCTATCCCTGTCTGTACTCCCTCTTTATCCCTTTGGCATACAGAGGAATAATTAAAGAAAAATTAGTAATCTGTATTTACAGACTCCTTTTGCAGACAATACTTGATTAATCTCCACAGTCATCTAGCCAAATAAGAAGAGATTAACCGACATCCTAATCTATCATAAATCAAAAAGGCAGAGGAACAAAGCGTCTTACCTTAAGAGACAAACATTGCAGAGAGCCTACGTTAGCGTTTAGCCTACATTAGTCTAAATCTAATATAAGGCAACATTTGGGCTCTAAAGGCGTGGATTTTTAGATGTTCTTCAAGGCACTGCGATCTGTCATGTGCTCCATGCATCTCACCCTGCAGACACCTGTCATTATTACTGATTGCACCAATTCTTGTCTCTAACAAATCAAAGAAAATTGCCTCACTCACTGATTCAAGCAGTTGGTTGCAGTGGGACCAGGAGTCCCCAGCTTAGCGGATTTGGGTTTTTTGGAAAGTTGAGATCTGTCAGCTCTATTGAGAACATCAGGGGCTGGGATAATTGGGAAAGCCACAGCTTGCTTCCTGCAGGAGTGCAGGGTGTGTGTTACGGTTTCTGCTGAGCTTTTGGTAATTTGCAGATCAAAACCAAACAGAATCAACCAACCAAATCTTTCCCAGGGACATTCTGGATTTCCTCAGGCTACAAAAATGTTCTAGCCTCTAAACACATCAGACCTGTTTTCCTGCATTCCACCACTATAGCCTACCCGTACCCTAAAGCTAAGATGAAATACTATCTTGAAGTGATTCTTCCTAAAAGCTTGCAGTCACATTTCCTCCCCAAATTCTCTTTTGGAACATAAAGGAAACAGATAAGGGTCATGATAGAAAATATAAATGGTACTTTTTCTAGGGATAGTATGTGAAAGATGCAGATGCACGAGTGTAAAGGAGGGACCAGACTCAAAGGTATTGAAGAGTTTGGATCTCAGCACTATCAACATCTCCTTTTTGTCAGAAATGTTATCACGGAGGTGAAGTGAGTAGCAACTGTGAGTCAGGATGGCAGCAGCGTGGGCTCTGGCATGACAGGGAACTTGTTTTCTCACCGTCTGTCTGTTCCATGAGCCATCATCCCCCAACAGCTTGCTCACAGACTGCTGCCTGTACAAGACCACACGAGTGCAGGATGAAATTCTTAGCTAGGAGGTAATTTTGTGTGTGTTTACCAAGTAAGAACCACGTTGTTGGTGTCTTGATGAAATCCAAACTCCTTTAATTGGCCTTTCCTTACAGTGGATAGGCACATGGGACAAACCAGATCTTCTTGGGGCCAGTAGTAAGAGCATCCTGAAGAGGGAAATACCAGCCCTGTGTGTGCAGAGTGGATGTCTCAGCTTTGATACCAACAGTGTATTTTCTCCATTGCTAGTAGTTTGCCTTGTCGGTGTCCTGTCTTCCCAGTAGAGCTGAAAGAAGCTCATACTAAATCCAAACTATCTTTGTGAGCTTCCTAGAAAAATCTTTTATAGATGTATATTCTGATTTCTTATTATTTGGGCAAAGAACTAAAATATCTTGAGAGAAAAATCTTTGCTGCAGCAAAAAGCTGGGTATCTAAGGTCGTAGGAAACGCCGTGCTATACCAGCCTGACCTTCCCTGTAATCCCCAGTCTTGTGTCTCACGGCAGCCAGTTGGGTCCTTGAGAGAATAGCACAAGAACTGTAAAGCAATTATAGCTAAGGGCCCAAATAAAGTGAATGTGGAAGTAAATTATAGCTAAGGGCTAAAATGTGAAATGCATAAAGCTGTAATGGTTAATGCTTCTGTCCTGTGTGCTATGTGGACTGACACTCCCAGCACTGATCTAGTGCTTGACATCCTTAAAGCACCGTACAGCCATGAAATAGGCTGCAGGGAGAAGGAGGCATTTGGCAGCTGATCACCTGGCAAGTGTTAAAAGGAACAAGTTCTCTATTGCTCAGATGGCCAAGGCAACATCCATCTTTATCTTCTGGGTCTTTCCGCTTGGCTGGATTATATAATTTGGTTATTCTTTGGGCAAAATGTGGAAGAATGTGGAGGCTGTCATTAATAATAACAGGAAAAGGGGAAAACAAGAACACTGGTTGCACTAGCTGGGCACTCCATTGTATCAGCTTTGCCTTTTTGCACATAAGCTCTTCAGTACAGAAATTCTTTCCTTTGGCCTCCCTTTTTTTTTACTTCAGTTCATTTACTGTGAAGAATTTTATTAATGTTTTC